TGGAAACCGCAGCCGGGCGGCGCCGGACCACTTTCCAGTCGGCGGCGCGTCGCTTGAAGGCCAACCGACGCTTTGCGAAGCTCCAGTCGCTCCGCTTGCCGGCCCTCCGGGTCCGGTCCCGGCTCTTTTCCATGAGCGTCATGGCATCGGGAAACTGGGGACACCAGTCGCAAGGGGTGTCGCCCAAGGTCATGCAGAGCATCCGCTTTCAGGCCGCGCAGGTGTCCAGGCGGGTGATGACTGGCAGTGTGGAGGTCGCGCTTGAGCTTGGTGGCCCACCGACAAAAGACCCGCGCACCTCCATCATTGGTCAGCACTGGGCGGCCCTTGGCAAAGTCCTTTGTGCACTACTGGCGGACCGCGAGCAGTTGGAGCGTACGTGGCTTTCCCTCTGGGAGCAGCTCCAGCGGAAGGACCGGTGGAAGATCATTTGTGGGCCGGTGGGCGCCATGATCGGCTACCTGCTCGAACTGAGGGTCGAGGCCTCTTCCCCTCATCGATGGCTCTTCTCGGCGGACTTGTGCCCGGCCACACTGGCTGGCCAGCCAGCGGGAGAGCACCAGGTTGCTTTCAACCCCCTGGACCCCCTGGCTCACCAACCAATAAAGGCGTGCCTTATGGCCCTGGCCGACCGTAGGCGGCACGAGGCCATCAGCAGGCAAACAGGCTGCGAGTCGCTTGACCGGGGAATCGACCACACGGTCCCACGCCTCCTCACCAGCAACGCCCGCGCCGGGGCCCTCCGTATGGTTCACCAGGGGGCCATGCGCTCCCGGTTGATCCGGCCCGGCGAGCAGTGCCCTTTGTGCAGGGTCGAGCTCACTCCCCTGCACATTGCTCAGGAGTGTTTGTGGTGGAAGGCAGGGCCGCGCCCCACCGCCAACTGGGCACGGCTCAGGGAGAAGTACCCCTTCGAGAGTCTCTGGACCAGGGGCCTCTTTCCGGCAAAAGCCTCCCAGCTCCGCGGGTACTCGTGGGGCCCGGAGAGTGAGGAGGTCACCGGGGTCGCAGCTGCCAGGGAGTGGGCCCCTGAGTACCTCTACGGCACGGACGGGACTGCGGGTGCCCACGACCCCCGCGACCGCGTAGCGGCGTGGAGCGTGGTCATCTTCCAGCGTGCCCCCGATGGGCTCAGGCAAGTCGGGTCCGCCTGTGGCGTATTGCCGCCGGGCACCACGGTGCCACAAGCCGAAGCTTACGCGATCGCCCGCGTGTGCGCCCGCAAACCAGGGGTCGCAGACATCACCACCGACTGTGCTGGGATGCTGCGGCAGCAAAAGTCTTTGGGGGTCAGCTGGCCGTGGCTACAGGGGGGCGACCGGCGAGCGCACGCCTCACTGACGTGGGTCAGGTCACACGTGACCGCGGAGGAATTCAGCGCTGAATTCGGAGAGTCGTCTCTCTGGAGACAGCAGATAAACGACGCGGCCGACCAACTCTGCCGGAAAGCGGCGGCCCGGGCCACGGCCCAAGTGGGCCCATGGTGTCCAGACGAGATCGACGACCTAGTGCGTGAGGTGACGCTCTTCTTGCAGCACAGGGCTTCCGTGCTGCTGGTCTCCAAAGAGCAGCCACCCTGGGACTTGACCCAGGAGGGAACACCCAAACGCAAGAAGGGGAAGAAGCATACCCCCAAGGGCGCGCGCGAGCCTGCGACCCCTGCAACACGGGCCCCGCACCATCGGCCCAGGCCAGCCGCAGATGGAGGGGAGAACAACCGCCAACGGATCGAGGACCTCATTAAAGAGGGCACCGGCGGGCACACGTGGGAGGCCCACCCCACTGCCATCGCCTCCGCGGCGTGCTTGGTGTGCGGGCAGCTCATGCCCTTGTGGCATTTCAACCGCATAGCCGCCCACCCCTGTCGGCACAGGGAGAGCCCCATTCCAGCTGAGCTGGAAGTGCATGGGTCACACGACATGCACAACCTTGGCGACAGGTGGATGTGCAAAAAGTGTGGCGCGCAGCTTAGGCTTAGGCCAGGGCACTCTAAACCCTCCAAGACCCTGTGTAGTCAGTGTGTGCCTACGCGTTTGAAGAAGGGGCAGATTGCCGCGAGTATGCTTAGCTCCTCACTCCCTGCGGCTACCCCCTCTCTGGCCCCACAACCCAAGGCATGCCCAGCAGTAGACAGGAAAAGGGTCAAGCCTAAGCCCCAAGCGCAGCACGAAGCCCAACCCAAACTCCGGCAGCTGTTTCAGGCTCGAAGCTCGAAACCGGGACACGCCCCGAACACGTCCCCTCCCGAAGCCACAGCGAGCCGTCAGCAAACTCTGCCCAGGACCTCCCCTCAACCTCACCAATCCCCTAAGCCCGTTAGAGCCCCAGGTAGTGGTAGCTCCGCTGCCGGCCTGCCTAGGTTTTTCCGCACACGGGATGGGGCCTCCCGCTAAAGGAGGCAAGGGCCAAGGAGGGTCCAAAGGAGGAGGCGGAGGAAAAGGAAAAGGAGGAGCCAGCAGTGGCAAAGGAAAGCATGCCAAGGAGGGAAGCCGAGCCCCTCGTGAGGGAAGCCAAGCCCCTCGAGACCAAGCCCAGAGCCGGGGAAGACAGTCCACTGGGCAGTGGATCTCCCCAATGGCGCTCTCCCGGGAGCAAGAGGCCCAATACCAGGCGTTTGTTCGGTCTCGCAAGGCCGCAAACCCGAACGCCACGCGGGTTTCGCGGTCCAGCTGGGCGCGAAACATGCGCCCACGAAAGCCCGCCGGATCCCAGGAAGCGGCGGCACCGGAGCAGCCTGCTACAGCAGCTGCCTCCAGCGGGCGCACTCCCCCGCCACCTCCGCCACGGCGAGAGGCCAAGGCAGGCACCAGCGCGACGGCCGCGCCCTCGAACCAGGTGCCAGTGCCGAAAAAGTGCCCACTGCCGCACCCGGGCGCCGGCGGATGCGCCCACCGATGCCGAAGGCGAGGTAGCGAAGGAGGAGGAGGCCGATGACGGCATCGATCCGGATCCAGGCCATGGGGGCATGGAGGAAGAGCCGGACGCCTGGGTTCGCAGGAGGGTGCGGTGCACAACGGCTTGCAAAAGCCTGGCAGCACCTGCGGAGGCTCCGATCTCCCGGTCCCTCGGGGGGCCCCCTGAAAGAGGCGAGGTATTCTGCGACGGCTGTCGTCATGAGGTGTGCTTGCATATGTTCCGGGCTCGGTGCCCTCACGCGACACGGGATGCACCAGAGCATATCCACACTCACCATCGCAGAGGTGATGCAGCTCAACCCCCTCGGCTGTGGTGGCGTACAGCCTGGCATGTCCTGGCACTGGCAGCCTTATGACCTGCAGCTGCCCTCCTGCCCGGCACTCCACGTCGACTCGGTAGAGCCACTCCGGAGGTGGGAGAGGGTTCGGGTCAGGGTTCACCTCTCCTGGGCTCTCGGCCTCCGCCTCCATAAAGAGTTTTCATTGCCGGGGTTTGACTGGTGTTTCCAGCCGCCTCCCCATCCAAGCCCATTGAGCCAGCCGGCTCTGGGGGTGGGGCCCGCTCCGTGCTCTGAGCCGGGAGCTCTGGTGGCAGGGATCCTTCCTCCTGGGAGGGGTGCTGGGCTGAGCTGGGTGCTCAGGCGGCTGCTGCGGCGGCTGCTCAGGCCGCGAGGCCTCTTCCCTCCTCAGAGGGGGAGTGTGAGGGGAAGGCACTGCTGCTGCCGGGCTTGCACCGCCCTCGCCCCGGGGTGGTGTAGGGGCAGCTCCTTCCTCTTGCTCCGGCCCTTCCTCCTCCACTTCTACCTCAATGAGGTCTGCGGGGGAAGTTGGCTCCCGGTCGGGCGTACCCATGGCATCATCTGCCTGCTCCTCCTCCAACTCCCCGGCCTCCATCTCCTCCAGCGGCGGTGGCTCCTCGATGTGCTGCCCTGTCAGTTTTGCCGTAGAGCCGTAGCTCAGGGCGGGGACGTGTCACACTCCCCATGCACATCTGGGATGAGCATCTCTCCCGTAGGCTGCAGCCTCTTCCGCCCACAGGCGATGCCCTCCAAAGGAGGATGACCGTGCAAAGCACGGTTAATTCGGTGCACGACGAGGGCCCACGGGCCGCGGACGCTCGCCGCCTCCCGACAAAAAGGAAAAGGAAAAAGGAAGGAAAAGGAATGGCTCAAGTTTTTGGCTCGAGTGCCACATTTTGTGGCGTAGTGAGTGCTGTGTGAACGGGCTTGGGGCTCTCAACCGGCTGTGCGACCAGGTTCGAGGCCTTCATAATCCCAGCTTTAGCTTCCTTTTGAGCCATAGTGCCCTGGCTTGGGAGTGGCTTCCACCCCTTGCTTTTCGTGAGGCCGCAGCGGACAGGGTCTCCCATCCGCCTTGACCGGCCAGAAGTCAGCAAGGAAGTGAGCAATCACTCCTTAGCCATGGGCCAGAAGCGCCAGTACTTCGTCTGCAAGTGCGGGGCGTGGACGTGGGCAGACAAGGTGCACAGTAGCCCTTACTGCCAATGCGGCAAGAAGTGGCCGGCACCTGCTCTCAAGCAGAACGGCAGCCCGCGGCCGAAGTCCCCCTCTCCGTCTCCTCAGCGAGGCGCCGACAAGAAGGAAAGGCGCGAGGAGGAGCGCCGCTTGAAGCGTGCCGTCACGACAATCTGGGATCAAATCCCGGAGGATGCGCGTGCGCGCCTCACACAAGCGGGATGGAAAGGGCCTCCCACAAAGCAGGATGCGGCCGAGTCCCAGACTGACCCTCTCCTGAGCCTGTTGGTACAGCGCCAGGATGAGCTGCCGGAGGACATCCGCACTGCACTGGTGGAGGCAACCACGGGTCCGGAGCCGTCCCCGGGAGAAAAGGCCATGCAGTCCAACAAGGACCTCACCAAGGCCAGCTCCCGCCTCCGCGTGCTGATCCACAAGAAGATCAAGCTACTGGAGAGCATAGAGGAGGCGAAGGAATCCCTCCGCCTGCAGCTGCAGGAGCTCCAGGAGACAACGGAGAAGATCCACGAAGCAGAGAATGCGGTGGAGAAGGCCAAGCTCGAGCTCACCAAGGCTGTGGGCACCCCTACCGGGGTACAGGACGTGCCTGTCACTCCCAATGGATGTGGACGAACTGGTCACCATCCTCGGCCTGACCCTCTCTGACGAGCAGCAGGAGAAGTTGGCCGACTACCGCGCCAAAGCCTATAGGTAGATGGGTCATAAGGTGACGGATGGACTTAGCCTCCTCCCTCAGATCGCGCGCTCTTGGTTCATCGGGCGGCGACTGATGCTTGGGTTTGTCGGGCACCTTCTTGACATCGTCAGGTGCACCCTTCTGGGCACTCTTAACACCAGGCATATCAAGATCGAGCTCTCCGATATCGTCTAGCTCGCCCACAGGTTCTTCACCCGCGGCCACGATTTTCTCGTGAATAATGATCGGTGCTGGGAGTGCCGGATACACACGAGGGAGATCAGGTCGACCCGCCACTACCTCGGTTTCGCTCGGAGCGAGGTAGGGGATGTTATTGATAACATCAATCTTGAGTTGTCTCCCTTTGGGATCAAAGAATATCGGATCGCAAAATGGTTCCCAGATAAATCGGTATCCAAGCTCCTTGCATCGCTTCCGTAGGGAAAGAAGACTTGGTGTGCTTTCCAGCACATATGCTTCAATCAGCTCATCAAGGCCGTCAATGCGCATATGGGCAACACCTTTGGTGTTAGTCTTTCCATTGGCGGTCCTAAGGCTGATCTTAGCATTCTGAACTATCAGATCCCTTTCCTCGCGGGACAGATCACCGAGACCAATAAGGTCTATACCGCAACCGGAGTCGAGCATAAGTCTCCGGACCCTCTTAATAGACTTGACAGCAGCAGCAAAGACCTCGCAAGCGCTCCGCTGAGAAAGCGTGAGCTCAAGAACACAAGCATCATTACCTAGCGTTTTGGCATCAACGTCATCGAGCAAAACCTGGTCTCTCCAAAGCACAGCCTTCATATGCGCCCTTCGCCTCTCGCGAGCACTATTCAGACCACGGATATCTTCCGGCCACGAATAGTTCAAATTCCTCTTACGATTGACGGGACCGAAGTTTGGCTCCGGGAAAGAAGACTCTATCACGCGGGTCTCAGTATTCCCAAACGATACTGTCTTCCGCTTGACTGACGGACATGCCATAATATCGAATGATGCAACGCAAGCGAAGGCGAAGTCTCCGATGGAGGATGCTGTCATTGCCTGAGGGTTGCGGCACGCCCCTTTCAAAAATCCGAGGGCGTGGGCGCCGGGCTGTCAACCCGCCTTGATGTCGGCGCGGGCTCAGCAGGCGCAGGAGCGGCGGCAGGAGTGCTCTCAGCTGGGGCACCCGGCTTCACATGCTTATATGGACACTTGTCTCCTCTCGAGCAAGTGCCTCGTGCAAAGTAGAAGCAGATACCAGACTCCTTTGAAATCGGTGACTGCGATCGGGGCGGGAAACCCTTCGGCGAGGAGCTTCTTCCCTTCAGGTTGTGGGAGAACTTGCATCCGCTTCCTCGCGTACATCTGCCTTTCTTGAAATCGTAGCAGATTTCCCGTCCTCGCGGGGATCGCGACATCGGGCGAGTCGGGGCGGGAGCTGCTCGTCCCGGACTGCGGGAATATCGTCTTGGCGATCCACGTCGCGGGGAGGATCGTCTGGGTGACGAGCGTCTTGGCGAGCTCCTTCGGTACGGACTCCCTTTCCTGGAGTCACGACGCCCTGGCGATCTTGAACCCCTTTGACCTCGGGATGAAGATCTGCGCGGGCTACCGTGCGCAGGCGCAGCGTATCGTCTCTGCGCAGAAGTAGACCTTGTAGCGGTGTACATCTTCTCCTGATTGCGTCCCGGCGCCAAAGTTGTAATCGCATTGACGCAGACGGTTCGCAAGTATGCGTAGTTCCGTACGGATACGTCCCTGTCCCATAGCTGCATATCGAGCTCGAGACAGCGGAACTCACGCACCTGCTCATAAAAGAGAGCGCAGAGAACAGGATCTTCGGGGCGATCGACTGAAATACCAGCGAGAACACCGATTGAATTGGAGAAGGCTTCCAGCCTTTCCTGCTCGGACCCATGAGTAAACCGATCAATCCTGGTCTTCATCAGGTCAACGAGCTTAAAAGTCAAATCGCCGGTGACGTGTGGTCGAAGGAAATCATACAATAGCCACAAGATCTGCCTACTTCCGAGTCGCCGGTTTATCGTATGCATGCGCTCGGTCTCGGTCTGGATCTTATTCTTCAGTGCAATGGATCGGACGCACTCGCGGAACGCAGAGTTGCTTTCATTTTCAAGCATTCCGTACTTGCACTCATCGAGGAGATCCTCATATCGCGTACCATCGGGAATCTCAACCCATGAGAGTGCGTATCCGGGATCGTAGGCGAATGCGTTCGCGACTCGCTCTTTCATATCGACGATCCAGCGTCGCAGCTGAGCAGGCTCCGGCTCGGGATCGAGACGAAAGGACTTGCACTTTGCCTTCTTGGCCTCGCTCAGCGATCCATCGCCCTTGGGTCCACCGAATCCCGAATCGTTGGGACCAGGTGGATTCCCAGTCTGTCTCTCAAGACACACGAGACAGATTCTCAAAGGATCTCGGCAACATCCGTTGCAGCACGAAAATCGGCAAGAGATGCATGATCGTCGCACGGTGGTCGGGAAAGTTCCGGTGCAGCGTTCGCACTGGAACGTATCGCTCCCACTCGGCCGACCGGATGGCCTGATGCTAGGCGGATCAAGGCCGCCATCAGGCGGACCACTCCCATCAGGAGGGCCACCACCACCAGGCGGACCACCGGGTGGGCCGTCAGGTGGGCCACCACCTCCACCGGAGCCAAAACCGGACCCGTGGTGTCCATGTCCCACGAAACCATGCACCGCCATATGCACCCCCGTTGTCGTTGGGCCCATCACCACCAGAATAACCGCCGCCTCCGTTATGCGCGGGCGGCGGTCCACCAAATCCGGATGGCGCGGCACTGGGTGCAGGAACGGACGTTCTGGCGTTGAAGGTAGGCATCGGAGGCATGTTGCCAATGAGATTTGACCGGCCAAGCATCGCAGCATACCATCGTGATGGTCCCTTCCCAGCCGGGACAGTTCGAGTATCATAGGAGATTTGGCATGGGAAGGTCGGACTTGACCTGGGCTCAGGAGCGAAGCTCCGGGCTTCAGGGACGTGTTGGATGTCAGTGCGAGGAGCATCATCGACTTGAAATGGCCTGAGGCTCGGAGTCTGACCGGAAGTCGCTCCGGCGGCATTTGCGGAAGGAACGGCCTGATTCGGCGATCTTCCTGAGAAACACGCCGACGTTTGGCCAAAATTATGTCGAAGGGGCTCAACGGGATTATTTTGCCCGCGACTTTCGGCAGGTTGTTCGTCAGCGACTCGTTGCTGCGCTCGCCTCAGAATTTCATCGAGATTGATTCCACTCGTCTGAGAGTGAACCGTTGAGGCTTTTTCAGCAGGCGCAGCGTTGCATCCCGGCGGAGAGCCATGATCGATCGGACCCAACAGGGAAGACCTCGGAATGGCCGTAGTCGGTCCGCCAGGGAATAGAGCACCTGGAACTGGCGGCAGGTCCGCGGGGCGTGGAATATCCCCACCATGGTCACTGATATCGAAGAACTGCGTTCGTTCCGGATGCGAAGGCGTCGATCTATCAGAACCGCCTCTGCGGACATGAGCGTTCTCGAGGTGCTGGATCCGAGCAGTCAGCTGATCGATATGAGCTCGGTTACTCTCCTTATGATCGTAGAGAGCGCGACTCATCTCGGATCTGATGACTTCGATGCGGTGAGTAGCATTCTGCTCCACAGCAGCAACGCGCGCTTCGGCATTAGAGATATTGATCTGAATCTGCCGCAGCGCGTCTGGGTACTGCTTGATGTGGCGGATCGTTTCGGCAAGCTGCATGGATAGCGATCCAGCACGCTTTTCGTTGAACTGATAGATCCGCTCATCGAACTCAATAAGTCGATCATTGATCGTCGAGGTGAGCTTCGCAAAATGATCTTCAAGCGTCTCGTGATCAGAAATCCGCCTCTCGCGGAAAGAGTCCTGAAACTGCATGAACAGCTCACGCTCTTTCCTCAATTCGGCCTGAAGAAGCTCCCACATGTCTCGGATCTTGCTCTCAAGCGCTTCGGTGATATCCGAGACGCCGTTCCTCAGTATATCGAGGTCGGCTTGGGTGTTGGTCACACCCTGCGCGATCGCCAGAATATCGGTGGCGATGCGCGCGGATGCTTCCGACCCAATGGCTTCATCGACCAGGGCCCTGACAGCACAGGGTCCGGTATGCCACCCGCCGTTATCGATGGCGGGGGCGGCACCACCATGACCCGCCGCGGTAATCGTTGCGACGGAATCATGGGGTGCACCCGGATGCTCGCTCATGGGCTCATCGGGGAGCGAGGCTCCACCGCGGCCAGCCACCGGCCCGTAGGAATCGGGGCGCGGTGGGCGGAAGGACGCCGGGTCCGATATCGGTGGACCACGGCCGTCCGGCCCGGACCCAAAAAGGGCCCGAGCGCCCTCTGGATCCCCGCGAAGGGACAGAGGACAAGCTGAAAGATCGGTCGGAAGAGGAGTGTGCGGAAGCAGCAGGAGCAGCGGACGCAGAAAAGGCAGGCAACAAAGGCAAAGCACGAGCAGTGGCAGAAGCAGGCAGCATGCCGGCGGGCATCGTGCCAGGCGTTGCGAAAGCAGCAGCAGCAGAGCATGGCAAAGGCGGCGCATGGTGCTGAGCTCTCTGATCGTCCTCAGCAGGCGGCGAGGCAAGCAGCGAAGCAGAGCGAGCGAGCGAAGCGTGCGAGGCGAGCGCAGTGCAGCGAGATGCGTGGGCACTATCATCGGGCTCCACGACATCCCGAGCAACTGGCGTCACTAGTGAAGAACCGACAGTCGAGGGGACACGGGCAGAACCGATCGGAGTCGCCATTCTCTCGGTGGCGCGGCCAATCACAAGTTCCGAACTTGGTCTGAGCCAGGAAAACGGTAGTGATCGGACGCTGATTGGATCAGGCGGTCCGAGTGCCAAGCAGCAGCAGCGAAGCAGCAATCCACAATCGGATGCGGAGGCCTTACGGCTGATAACCTGTGAAAAGCGGAGGATTCCACTCAACTCTCGGTCACAAAGCCCAAGGCAACCAATCGTAGATCAAGGCAAAGCAGCAAAGCAAAGCAAGGATGATCAGAGATTAAAACCGTAAGGTTGACGCTCAGGTAGAAGACAGGTCCTACAACCCCCAGGCTGTAAGCGGTCTTTTCCTGGGACTCGCAAAGCGGTCCTTGAGCAGTCAAGCTGCGTAGTGAGACAAAGTTGGCGTGAATCCTAACCAAGACACAGAAGCACATGTACGCATGTCCGTGACAAATCACACTATATAATATTATGTCTAGGTTTCTGCGGTGGCTTTTGTCTTGAAGATTAGTTATTTAGGAAATAGGAGTGCCTTGGCTTCTTCGTCTTCAACGACTACATGAAGGTCAGCCTTGCACGCTTTCTTTTCTGATTTGCACAGGTCGTTTGAGCATTGCTTGAAAGATTGAAGTTGAAGAAAGCATTGTCAGCAACATTGATGCTTGAAAAGAGCAATTCGGATTATCAGCATTTGTGTTGTCCCCTTTCCTGTTCACTTCTTCGGGGCAATGGCTTCTGAAAAGAATGACCCAAAGGTCGTGGATGATGAGAGCGAAGAAGAAGTTAATACTTCCGATGAAGAGTCCAATGCCTCAACAACCATGAGCGAGATAGTGCAGGAGATGATGGAGAACAAAGACATCCCGAGTTTGAAGGACTACCTCGTCAACCTTGAGATTAAGAACGCCAACATTGACAAGCACATCAAGGAAATCAAGGAGTTCCTTAAGACTAACGTCCCGAAGAAGGGCAAGTTCACCATCACGGTCATCATCAACAAGCAGTCCTTCAAGATTGAAGTTTCCAGCGACTCCTCCTACAAGGACATCCGCCGTAAGTTGTGGGACTCGTTCAGTGATGAACTCATCGCGTTCGGTTACACCAGAACCTCCTTTGAAATGGCTACCAACTATGACATGGAGTATGGAACCAAGCGTCTCTCTCACCATCCTCGTGCCACTTTGTCGTCATGGAATATGGAAGGCGATGTTGTACGTCTTATTCCAAAAGATGAACGCACAAAGAAGCGAGTTACAAAGAAGCAAGCACTCTCCGAAGCCATGGGCAAGCGTGATGACAAGAAGCACAAGGACAACAAGAAGGATGACGACAAGAATGACGACGACAAGAAGGGCACGAAGGGAACCTCCAGCAGTAGCGGATACACGAAGTGAGCGGTGTTTGAAGTTCTGACGTCATAGTCGCTATACTCCTCATAAAGACTAAAAATAATCTTACCGTTAAAATATGAGAGAATATTATGGGGATGGATGCGACTGCTACTTACTTTTGAAGCCGAGCTATAGGCTACCGCACTAACGAAAGAAATACAAGTGCTTAGACGGCATTTTCTGTGAGCTTTGAGCTTTGAGACTTGTTGAGTGAGCTTGACCTATACATATCCGAAGCATTTGTGGCTTTAGTTGTGTAGTGCTTACTTGTTGATTTCCAAAAGCGATGTCTTCCCGCCGTGTCATAAAGGGACACTTGAAGAAGGACGAAGCTGTGAAAGATTTGACAAAACGCTCAATGTCCATCATCAAGAAGAAGATTGATTCATATGACGAAGTTAACAGCCATCCTCCTCTTCTACAGCCTATCATTCAACCGATGGTTGATAAGATGACAGCGTTGAAGTTGAAGGTGCTCAACGGCGAGAACGTCATTGAAGAACTACTTGAAGGACTACCAGAAGACAAGCTTCTAGCACTCATCAAGATTTTCAACAAGAAGGGCGCGGGGGCTCAAACAGAAGATAAACTCTTCAACTCCGCGTTCATCGTCTTAGAAGACTTGAAACAGATTGATGATTATGTGAATTACCTGACGAAGGTAAAAACTGACATCATCAAGGATTATGTCACATGCTATGGCAAGCTCTACCACATTCAGAAGATCAACACCGTCCACTATGACAACGAAGCCTTCTTTGAACATCTTAATTCTGCTTTAAGTTTTCGCAAGGGCTTTAGAAAAGCCACTGCTTCCATTAATTCATCAGGTTCTGATGTCAATGATGAACATAACGCCTCTGATAGGTGTAACATTATGTAAACATTCCCGATATTCTCCCGAAATATCCCCGATATTTTAAGACCTTCCCGAAATATCCCCGATATTCTCCCGAAATATCCCCGATATTCTCCCGAAATATCCCCGATATTTTAAGACCTTCCCGAAATATCCCCGATATTCTCCAGAAATATCACCGATATTTTAAGACCTTCCCGAAATATCCACGATAGGTTCCCGAACATATCCATGATATGTTCACATATGTGAACTGTGTTTTGCACAGATGCCTTTTGAGGCATGCCATTATGGGGTAAGCATTTTTGTTATTGAAAGCCAAAGGCTTCAATGCAGGACCGAGAGGGAAAATGAGTTGTGCTTTCATGCCATCCTAAACCCCCTAAAACCCTAAAATAAAAAATCAAAGCATGTAGTATGCATAAAAATATTGTTTACCTTAAAAATAATGGTAAATCATATACAAAATACAACATAAATCATTAAAAATAATAATATGATAGACCACGAAAAAAATAAATCCATTAATCACCGACTTGACCCGATGCACTTTTTAGTATTTGAAGAAAAGTTTCACTAAAAACATGACAGGTCGACCTCTTCAACAACGGCTTTCACTTCATCAACTACGAAGCACTGGTGCGACCTCCCCCGCTGGGCTTTTTTCGGTTTAGGCGTTCAGGGTTTTTCAGGGTTGTTGTGGTTTAGTGTTCAGGGTTGTTGTGGCTTGGTTTAGGTTAGGCGCGTTTGTAAAAAAGGAGCGCACCCGATTATTTTTTATTGCTTTGTTCTTTTCGTCTCGTCGCTTCTTTTCCCTCGTGTTAAAAGCGCTCCTTTTTTCAATGATTTTGTTTTTTGGGGCTGGTTTAGGTATTTGGTTAGCGCCCGCGACCGCACGCCCGCGCGCCCGCGCCCCTACTTAAGGAGAAGCCACGTTAAAGGGTATGGAGAGCCCTAGCCCAGAACAGAAAATATACTTAAAGACATTTTATCATTATAATAATATAATGTTTTTATCAACATTAGAACAAGAAGAAATTATTAATAAATTCTTAAATGTTATTGAAATGAAAACAATTATTAATCATAAAGTTAGTATATGTAAAAACTGTAAGTTTAATCAACAGAACTTGAACTTATATAAATTAAATATACCTAGTAATATTGTTAAAGATATTTGTAAATATAATTATAAGGAATGTGAAGTATGTAAAACATTAAAAAAATTTAAAGAAAATGTTTATGATTGCAGTATTGAAGATTTTGAAAATGTGGTTAAAGCAATTGAAGATAAACATAAATACAATATAACAGATTACACAGAGAAGAAATTAGATTTACAAATATATTATTATATTAAATTAAATCCATTTCCTACATTTGAGGAGACATTACAATCGTCCAAAGGTGTATTACCAGAATTCAAATTTTACAATAATGAATTCTACAATGAGATTAAATTACTATATGATAACTCATTTACAAGTAATGATAAAGTAAAAGACTTTTACACCAAACAACGAAATAAAATTCTAAATGATTATTATAACAATATAGATGAAAAGAATGATACCAGGAGAAAATTTATTAATCATGTAAAAAGTCAAATAAATAAAGTTGAAAGTGCAATTCATGCGATTTTATCATACATAGACAATAATGAAAAATTTAGCAAACTAAAATTTAAATTGTATTCAAATGAAGCTTTTAAATTTATTAATATACGAATAGGTGAAAAACATTTTAAAGATGATTATACATTTGAACGTTTTATAGATGCTAAATATCCTTATATACCTAAAGAAGAATACATTAAAAAAATCAAGAAACAAAAACCAATAATACAGGACAACGATTATATCAATAGAACAGATGACTTTTTAACATAAAAACTTTAACTATCATATTATATTATAATATGAATGTTAACCGCCAGCCCACGCCCGCGCGCCCGCCCCATACTTAAAGGGAAGCCACCTTAAAGGGTATGCAGAGCCCCAGCCCCGACACGGAGATAAAAAACTACTTAAAAGAAAATCTATATTATAATAATATGGATATTAATAGACAAAAATCTGTAATGAAATATGTATTAAATAGTGATGTAGGTAAAATTAAAACAAATAAAGACGGTAAACAATTAAAAAAAGTTGTTATAGATGATAAAGAATACCCATATAATCCATCAAAACCTTTTCCCGGAACACTCATAAACAAATTAAAACAAATAGAAAAAACACCAGGTTACAAACGTTTTAACATACTGGATAAAGCATCTAAGGGGATAGCAGTAAGAAAAGCTTTAAAACGATATTCTATATCAACATTCGGCACAAGAACTAACGTATTTACAGCTTTAAAAGCTTATGCTAACACATATGCCATAACAAACATTCAAAAATTAGGATATGCAGGATTATCTCACATATATTATCAAAAACCTAGATTAAGAGAATATCTAAATAAAAACAAAAGTATGAAACTATTAGTTGATGTATCCGTTAAGTTTAAGCATTTAGAAAATGAAGATAAGGATTTTGTTGCTAGTATTCGTTCACGACGATATAATATATTAAACGAAGAAGACTTAAACGATGCAATAAATACTATGGCATCAGATATAGAAATAAGCGTAGAAAACAAAAATTTTTATAGGTCTGATTTAAAGCTTGATAAAATAAACAAAATAACATTTCATTATGATAAATATGACCCGACAAGAGCGGGTAAATTTATTGAATTACCTAGATGGATTGCTTTAAAGAAGGCTTGTATTAACATTCAAAACAATGATGAATTTTGTTTCAAAAACTGTGTTTTATGTAAATTCTTTGAAGTATATAAAAAAGACCATCCTTGTAGAATATGTAAATACAAGCCTTTTGAAAATGATAGCATAATTAAATGGGAAGGTGTTAATTTTCCAGCTTCAAATGAAGACATTGACTATTTTGAACAAATAAATAAACAGAATATTTCAGTAAACGTTTGTACAGTAGATCAAAAAATAAGAGTAGATAGAATTACAAAAATAACTGAACCTATATGTCATGTTAACCTTCTTCGTCTTGATGATGATGAGGGAAGCCATTATGTTTTTATTAAAGACTATTCTAAATTAATAGGTTCCCAAATGAATAAACATAAAGCTAAACTTTTCACTTGTAAATATTGTCAAAAAGGATTTCAAAAGGAGAACTTATTGCACAATCATCTTACTAAAGGATGTATGGCTAATGAGGTTCAAAAAACAAAGATGCCCAAAAATGAAGAAAAAATGTTCTTCAAAAACCACTATAAAAAATTGAGGTGTCCATATGTTATTTATGGTGATTTTGAATGTTTAACAACTTTATCAAATGAAGGATTGAAGGGAACGTATCAAAATCATAAACCATCAGGATTTATGATAAATGTTGTTAATTCTATTACAGATGAAGTTAAGCCTTATTTATACAGAGGTGAGGATTGTATGAATGTATTTTGCAATAAAATGAATGAAATAAGAGATGATATTATGTATAAATTGAATAACCCATTACCCATGGAAAAATTAACAGATGAAGAAGAAAAGCAATTTAGAGAATGTAAAAAGTGTCATATTTGTGGAGGTTCATTTAATGAAACGGAAGATAAGAAGAAAGTTAAAGACCACTGTCATTTTACGGGTAAATATAGAGGTTGTGCGCATAATAAATGTAATTTAGATTTTTGTTTTAGATACTTTAAAATACCCGTATTCTTCCATAACCTTAAAAGTTATGACGCTCATTTAATTATAACAAATCTTGATAAACTAAATACCAGAAAAGACAATATAAATGTAATCGCTCAGAATAGTGAGAAATTTGTTACCTTTTCAATTAAACGAATTGAATTTAAAGATAGTTTTAGTTTCTTATCTTCATCGTTAGATAAGCTAGTTAAACTAACTAAATATGAAGACAGTGAAAAAAGACCTGACTGGACAAAGCATTTTAAATACAGTAAGATGAGTGAATATGTTAAAGATGATTATGATTTAGATTTACTAACGGATAAGGGTATTTATCCTTATGACTACATGAATGATTTTAACAAGTTCAATGAAACAGAACTACCAAGTAAAAAAGAATTCTTTAGTCAGTTAGTTGAAGAAGATATA